AGCCATTAATAGTGTAAGTAGACAATTATCACTTATAAGAACTTAAGGTGCATTTTTCTAAAAAAAATTGTTATGTAAGACATCGAAATTTTCACACCGTTGTTTAGATAATTATCACTGTCATCAATTTCGAACGAAACAAATATGCGTTGTCATTTAAAAAAAAAATTATGTCATCGCTGCCGTAAGTGGATTAGCGAAAAAAATATTTTTCCACATAACAAGGTGCCCTGGATCAAATAAAAATCGACGGGTCTCACCGTTTTTCGAAAAAAAAATTGTTTAACGAAAATAGGAATTTTATGCAGAACTTTTTTACCACGCTGTATATGTAATTTAATTATAACCATGGCTTGCTTTTGTCACTACTCTTTTACTACCTATTCTATTTTATCACGGTTTTGTGGGCACTATACTTACGTTCCTCTTTTTTATCAGCTGATATATCGTTTAGCTGTTTTGTAACTTGTGTCAGGCTCTTACAAAAACTGAAAAAACTGCTGATTTACCAGAGACTTTTTCAGTAATAATTCTTCTGTATCAGCATGGAATATTTTGTGGCTTACCTTTATTTCATTGGTAAAATAGGTTAAGTAATTCATGCAGCCAATTCATATCTTTAATGTGGGATTGTAACTGTAGGTATTTTAAATTTCAATAGATTTTATAAATGTCTTCCACATTTTACATATTGTACGCTGATTTTCAGTTTTATTTTAAAACACGAATTTCAAAGAAATCTTCAATTTGTAGCATATGGGGTTGTGTGAAGAACTAGGTATGTTACTTTAATATAATACAATAATAATTATTTTACAGATTTAGGGAATCTTTTAGTGTCTTGATACAATATCGCTTTTACTTTTTTTATCAAATAATTTCTTCAAAAACCTAGATATTATGCAACATTGAAACAACAAAAAGAAGGTGCTTTATCGACTTTGACAACAACTGATATCTAACGTCTTCATTGTATACTTTGTTCATTCCATAATGATAACAAAACAAATATTTTGTTTAGTAATTTAAGGGAGTATACGAGTATAAGTTATTCGCATTCAAACTACTTTTGAGCAGATTGCACCGAATAGAAAATGCACAGCATATATTAAAGAAACATAAATGATACAGTTTATTTTTCAAGATACATTAGTAATTAATCAATGGAGGTATAGCATACTCGTCTATAATTTCTTCGCATTTGAGGTAGTTCCTTGGATTCGTTTGCATTTCAAGTGTATCGTTGATGTTCAAATACACCAAATTATTTGGACTAACTTTCTCCCACGTCACGTTACCCAGGGAACTGTCCACTTCTGGAGTTGGGTTTCTAAANATATCTAACGTCTTCATTGTATACTTTGTTCATTCCATAATGATAACAAAACAAATATTTTGTTTAGTAATTTAAGGGAGTATACGAGTATAAGTTATTCGCATTCAAACTACTTTTGAGCAGATTGCACCGAATAGAAAATGCACAGCATATATTAAAGAAACATAAATGATACAGTTTATTTTTCAAGATACATTAGTAATTAATCAATGGAGGTATAGCATACTCGTCTATAATTTCTTCGCATTTGAGGTAGTTCCTTGGATTCGTTTGCATTTCAAGTGTATCGTTGATGTTCAAATACACCAAATTATTTGGACTAACTTTCTCCCACGTCACGTTACCCAGGGAACTGTCCACTTCTGGAGTTGGATTTCTAAAATAAATCATACATAAATATTATTTCACGCGATTCTGAATAAAAGTACTCACAAGTATTTGACAAAGTTTGACCACAGGATTAACAAACGTTGACGTGTCGTAACATCTTCTGGATCATCAGCTCTATAAGGAGATCCATAAGAAAACCCAAAAGAAAGGTGCGCGTCCCATAAATAACACAACTCTTCAGAGTGACCAACACCTCGAATACCTGAAATCAGATTATGTGGTAGCTTGCAGATATCCACTGTGAGTGTAGAAAATTGCTACACGCTTGTGGGTGGTAAAATAAAACTTCAATAGATTTTCATTTCCAAGGACAATAAGGTTCTCTCCAACTATAGGGTTGTCCCTAGCTCAGCAGCAATGGGGGTGGGGTTGATATAACTTAAAATAATTCTCTTAAGGCGCCACCTATTTTACAACCCGATGGACAGTACGCAAGAATGCTGGAGAGACGCCGACACCTAACAGTACAAAAAAACGGGAAAAGGGTATAAATAAAAGCCCTAAGAAAGTATACTATTCAAACGGTAACTTTAATTTATTTAAATGGCCGGTGCCTAAAGTATCTGATCAAGGCTACAATCGCTTAATCAATCTAGTTGTCAATAGCGGCCGATTATGCACCTTTTAGATAGGTTTGGCAAAATAGTGCTAATTATATGTAATCTAACAATAAATAATAACAGTTAAAGATAACCCTCTCCGATAGCGCTGTTGGTTCGGTGTATAAAATTTCAAAGAAATAGAATACATAAACGTTATACCTTATAATCCAAATTAAGAATAAAGGTCATTTAAATAGTAACAAGGGCAAGTATCAGTGAGCTCAGCGTAAACAAAGTATGAATACTATCTACCTATGTTTTGTAAGTGAACGTAAAGTTCATTAAGGATGGCAGTTACCTATACCGACGTAATGTGAACTTATAAATTATAACAAAAGAACAGGGAAAAGGTCAGCAAGAATTATAAATAAATAATGTATGTATCTTATTAACAAATTAACTAATAAGTTACCTAATAGTACGCCAAACTAAATAACAAAAAAAAAATAAGTAGTGATGTCTAATATGGTGAGTAGAGTAATTATTTGGTAGCGGAATGGAATAAGTAAATTGGGCGATGATGATTGCTACCACGTAAGCTAAATTTCCAAATAAAAGATGAAATATTCGATGCAAAGTAGAGCAAAAAATTGTCGGTCTTTTATCAAAGGAAAATCGTGTCATCATTTTTAGGAGGCGTAAGATGAACCGTTTCATATTTAAAATGAAATTGAATGTAAAATCTGAAATACCGCCGCATACGCATTGTGTTCTGGTATTAGCTGTAGTCGGCCAGGTGCATCGAGTGTACGAAGTGGTCGGTTATACGTCAAATACTAACCTGGCGAGCTTGATCGTAGAGCAGGGAACAATAAACAGTGGCGCGTACAGAGGTGAAATGTAGTACATATGTGGAATTTAAATAACGAATTGGATTTATAATAAATTACATTTAAAACAAATAGTTTATGAGAATAAAGGGATTTTTGTAGGAACAGGGTTCCAGACGTGAACTGATCTCTTCATCGCACCCCATTACGATTCTTTTTTTTATAAGGAGAACGAAGTTTCAAAGCAAAAACCTTGTATAACAGATATACTATAAATATTTACAGAATGAAAACAAAATATAAATCCTATGATATGATTCTATCAAATGAAAACACTAACAACAATTCTCTACCAATCTCAACAAAATAAGTTATTTTTCTATCAAACAAGAAATGTTAACAAATTATAAACAAAATATAAATTCTATGATTTATGTACTGTACGCCAAACTGCATTTTTCTCATCTTCATTTAATATTAATTTCTTCTTTGCACCCCCTTTTTTAGGTTTCTTAACGTCTCCTTCAATTTTCTTCTCTCTTAAAATTTTGAAAACAGATAATTCGCTTACTCCAGTATATCTAGAACACATTTCCACCAAACCAGTCTTCAGTTTCATGGGATGATCCTTTTCTAAAGGGTTATAGACATTTAATATTATCGTTTTTTCTCTGTAACTTAATATAGATTTTTTTGTACCCACAGCAGTACATCCGGCTCGCGAACATCCAGGCACCGCCTCCATTTATCCATATAACGACAACAGAGCAATAATAATACAAAAAACTTCACTTCACTAGCACAGAAAATATAATAGCATTCACGATTCACAAACAACAGCCCGAAACACACACACAGCACACAAATAAAACACTAAAAACACTTTTGTTACGGAGCACAAGAAATATGATTTCACTCACAAATTCTCAAATAATAGCGCGAAACACACATATAGCCCGAAAGAAATATAATTGCACTTATAACAGTTATAACCTCACAAATATCGCGAGCGAGAAACACGCAGCACCAATACAACCGAAACGAAACTGACCACGCCAGGCCGGCACGCGCGCCGCCGCAAAAAACACAAGACACAAGTCATATGAGGGATAATGAAGGGAGTAATAAATGTATTGTTGTCCTGCCGCCCAATGTGCGAAGGAGATGCCTTTGTTTTTCATTTTGTCCTTCATAAATATATAACTGTTAATCCATAATGCATTAAGAAATTATTCAGTTTCCAAAAACCCCTATAAAATGTGTTGCACTGATTCCCTTGACAGGCAATGATTTATTACTTTGCATCGAATACGATCGTACTATACACTATATGAGAGCAAGCCAGACCTGCAGCATCAGTGACAGTTTCCAATGAATATGCAGGTAAAGATTTACTACTCCAACCATACAATTGCATCCACAAAAGGACATGAAGCCAGGCAGCAACTGGGAGTTATGGAAGGCGAGTCTTGTATAGGGATACTGCTCTCCAGTGCAGATAATAATCCAGCCAAAGCGATGAGTAAGCCTGCGTTGTTTAACCAAGGTCCGGGGTTACGATACCTTGGACTTTCAATGGCAATTAATCACTCGGTATATGAGGGTGAAGTAGGAAAACACCCAGCACACTGATAGCGACGAAGAAGGTGACGTTGATGGTGAAAGTGCGAATATAATGAGATGAGATTGAAACAAGGACGAGGATGAGACCTAAACGAGGCCTAAAAAAAAGACAAGCATGTCTAAGTAGGTTTCCCAGTGGGGTAGAGATACAGAAGATTAGTAAAAGATAATTTAAAGCTATACCTTTGTTGTAGAGCGACCTCGTGGTGAATGGTACCTTATGTCGGGTTTTATGGGCACAAATCCAACCAACAACGGTTGACATTGGATTCACCAGAACTAACAAATCCAATTTTGCTGCTAAGTCGACAATTCTCTTTTATCTCGCGACAAAGAGCACAGGAGGAAGTAAGAAAGGAAAGAAAAAGTCAGTTCGGCCGTATATTGACAGGGGACATTGTATTTACCCACCGATGATAATTTAATGAACACATTGGAATACTTTGGGAAAAATATTATAAGTTAAACCATACCATAATATTATTTTAAAATAGAAAATAAATAAATACCCTAATTTAAAGTTTTCATTTGTGGTTTACCATTTTTCCATTGTGTTTTACATGATTACGTAGCTATTTTTAATAGGAACTGGTATGAATTAAATAAAATAGTAAAAGAAAAATAAGCCCGTAACAAAATATTGACCGTGTACGTGACGAATTTTTGAATTCCTATGGAGTCTTTATTTTGAGAAATCATTGCACCAATGAATGAATTCTTCACAGTTTCCTTCCACCCATGAATTATAACGGATGAAAAGACAAATTTTACTTAAACCAAAGATAATAAATACCATGTTCAATTTAAAATCATCTTTCTATATGACAATCTTTATTTATTTATACTGAAGATAGAAGTTCCTGAGGTCACGCTGAGTAAAAAAGTTACATGGGATCAATTCTCCAGGGGTGCCGAGTTTTGGTCTTTTGAAGTTTAGAAATAATAGGTACTTACATCAGTGGTGGCTTATGACATTGTGAATAGGTGGGCAAGAAAGAAAAAAAAGAGGTGCAGGCAAAATTTTTTAAATATTCAAGGTCAAACAACTAAATGCATTTGGAAATTTTTAGCTTCATTTACAAAAAATTGCGTAAGAACCTGTAGTTTTCGACATTTTTATCACCTTTCAAAGAGAGTCAAATTAAAAATAGTTGTCAAAGTAATGTATAATATATCAAAGTCTAGTATTTTTTTTTATATAAACCAAACTTTTGTTTTTTAAAGAGAACAGCCTATATATTTGCAATTTTAACTTCAAGTAAACAATACTTTAAATACTTGGAAAACTATCTTGTTACAGAAGATTCCATCATTCAGTTCGATATATAGTGATGTTACAGATCTATCAGATAAAACGCCCTTAGAAGTATATATTACGTAATTGGAAATATTAAAACCACCCAACAACACCCAATAATAGTAATATGTCATCCTTTAAAGCATGAAAAAGAATAATTCAAAGATGTAGACATTTATATTAGGGGATATTCATATATTAAAACGTATGCGGAAGAATGGTTAAGATTATTTTAATAGATGATACAATTAAATGAGGAAAAACTGGGACAACTATTTGCCTAAGAAATAAAAACCCTACTCTATTGCTCTCTATGTCCTAACGTTACATTGTATAAGTATTTGTTAACTTTTGTAACAAAAGCGGGGACGCGTAGTCATTTATTTATTAGTTCTCGGAACGGATGGGCCAAAAAGTAAAATATTTCAGTCAACACCATAGACTGGCTTATAGAGCGACTTTGGTGAAAACACTTTGGAGCCTGATTTGGAGCCCAGCGTTCAGTCGTGTCCTAGCATTTGACGTGTACGCATCGCTGTGATTTCGATAATTAGACGTTTTATCATGGGCAAGTGTATTGTAAAACATTGTACAAATAGAAGTGATCGAGTTGGTGAAGAGAGGCGAAAAGTTTCCTTCTTTAGGTAAGTAAAAAAAAGGAATATATAAAAGGTAAATATGTACGCCATTTTTCGGTTAACGTCACAAGTTTCCAGGGTTAGCTTTATAATTTTGTTCGCCCACATAGTGTAGTGATTAACGTGATATTGTTATTATAAAATAATGAATGAATTACTGTAAAATATTTTTAGTAATTATTTACTTTATGTGAGTCTTAAATTTTTATGAAATTTTACCAATTCCCGTCATTTCGAGATAGCTGAAAATTAATTAAATATTTTTTTCAATTAAAAAAATCGCAAACAAAACTAATTTCAGATTCAGTATTCGTACAGTCAATTAATTTTTATTAAAGATCGTGGTTGTTTGACGTATCCATCTCGAGATGTCGTAGTAATATGCTAAGAAACAGAAAAATTAATAAAATTTTTAAATAATGATGAAAGCAGAACACCTAGGCTACAGAAAAATAAAATTGTTTATCATGTATTAAAAAACTTTCTGAATGTGAACATATTTGAAAATTTGCATGAACATCAATTTGATAATTTGCCTAACAATTGTAATCATTTAATAGAACTTGTAAGGGCTGAATGTGAAAAGTATATCGATGTACGAATAAATCATGAAGTCAAATTATTTAATTCGGTAAAATCTACGAAAAGACAAATATTAAATAAATTAATATTATTTAGAGGATAATAAATATATTTAAATTATTTTGTAGTTTTATTTAATATGACACTAAAATATACTATTTTCTGAATTACAAACTTAAAATTGAATATTTGTCATAAGATGCAATATAATGTTTAATATGTAATAAAAATATTACTTAATCCGGATCTGCTTAAAGATGCGCGCGATCAGATTGCCTTCCACACTCCACTTCCCCGGATTTTGCATTCACTGGTACCCGTGCATTGGAATTAGATACGGCCAGTCTAGGTGGTCTGTGGTCAACACTAATTTATGTCGATGGTTTTCAAGTAGGCTTAACGTCGCCAAGACCGTCCTTCGGGGAAGGCCACCCGCATTTTTATTCGAATATTTTTAACAAGTTCACTTAAACTGTCGGGGCCATGTGTTAAGCATCTAGTATAAGAGAAAAATCGATATTTTAAATAACGCACAAAATGCATTCCAAAGAACGTAGGAATTCCAAGAATAAGTTGTTAGAATGTTGTCAGGAAAAATATGATAAGCTTGTTCCGGTAGGAATCTTCCAGGCCCTACAAATGGAGAAGATGCATTCTCTCCAGTAGGAAGGGGACCAGTGCCGAGTCACCCAGAACACCTAGGGGCCAGAGAGGAAGCTGGCGTTACACCATACCACTGGAGAAACCACTTAACTGCTGAGATACGCCAGTTTATTAGAGCCAGACAACCAGGACTAGCCTTGAAGTCACCAGATAGCAGCCAGGACAACATTGGCTGAGGGAAAACCTCAGAGGTGGAGCGACCAACGAAGGGCAGATGCCTTCAAGGGACTTCCAGACGTCCGAACATACACGACGTCATCATCTCCACGGTAGAGCTGCGCGGACAATGAAGCAGACGGTGGACCTTCCAATAAGCTGTCACGATTGCTAGCAAAACTGCCCAAGTAGCCATCTGAGGTAGGCCCAGGGAACGGTGTAGCAAGCCAGAGGCGTACCCGGAGGATAACGTGGACACCCAGGTGACCCCAAATGAGACCTCCTACCTCCTACTTAACATCATTAAGGTAGGAGGAAGGGTGGAATCAGCAGAGGATGCGTAGAACTGCAGTTCCAGGGCCACGGAGGAAGAAGGAAGAAAAGAACAAGACGTCCCTAGCTTAGAATAGTTAATTGTAAGGAATTTCTACGACTCAATTTATCTGTAAAATGTAACAAAAGCCGGGACGCGTAGTAATTTATTTATTAGTTCTCGGAACGAATGGGCCAAAACGTAAAATATTTCAGTCAACACTAATTTATCGGAAAGTCGATGGTTTTCAAGTAGGCTTAACATCGCCAAGACCGTCCTTCGGGGAAGGCCACCCGAATTTTAGCAATATTTTTAACAAGTTCACTTAAACTGTCGGGGCCATGTGTTAAGCATCTAGTATAAGAGAAAAATCGATATTTCAAATAACGCACAAAATGCATTCCAAAAAACGTAGGAATTCCAAGAATAAGTTGTTAGAATGTTGTCAGGAAAAATATGATAAGCTGGTTTTTCAGCGGATTTTCCAAGAAGATATTAAATGAGATTGACTAATCCGCCCCGTAATTGCTACACGGAGTCGCTAGAGGAAGGCTAGGGTTACTTGTAAGTCACATAATTATTTGTATAAATGTAAATTCAGTCCATTAGACAATTATTAACATGGCACAGCTATACCAAAGCATCCCGACATTCAGAGTCCCCGCCAATAAGATAAGAACCGAAACTTCTGGACCCAAGAAATGGACGTGTCAAAGCGAGGTGTCGGATTCAGGGGAAGATCTCGAACAGGAAGTTCTTCCTTGAGTTTCACATTGAGCAGTCTAATTAACATTAGAGTCTTGGACTAATTAATTAAATTTAATAATGGATAAAGTTTTTCCAAATTTTGTATGAAGCGAGCATTCTCTGAATCTCGGTACGCTGTCGCGTGTAAATAAATTCATTAATAATGTTGTTCGAGCCGTTATGTCGTTATTTTGTTTGTTTTGTTTATTGTTATAAAAACCCTTCCTGGAAAGTTTGGTGTTCCCTTTTGTTTCTATCAACTTCAGTGTCACCATGTATAGCCAGCCACTGGATTACATTCTACGTAAGCAATAGAGGGTAAGTGTCTGAAATTCATTCTTTGAACATATAACATTTCTAAGTTCCCACGTATTAATTAAAGTATAATGATAATTATAAACTCCCTTTCGAGAATTAAATAGTAAACTCTTGTAAAATGCAAACTCATTATGATACTGGTCATAACGAAAGATAGATAGATAAAGAAATAACCCCGAAGGTTACACATTGATCGAATACAGAAAACTTACCTGCAATTTCTAAATCCTTCATACCTCCCATATTGCCTTTGTATGAAAACTGGTACATATAAACGTCGGTATAGTTGGATTGTAACTTTGCATGTCTAATAGATGCGGTTATAAACGACTCATCACTATAAAACTAAAGAAAAATTTTATTATATTATCGATCATTTGCTTCAATTATTTGTACTCTCTTTAAACGTTGGAAATGTTAATATGCAGCAACACGTTGTGAAAACAAGTAAATTTTTTTTTGGAAGATTGTTCGAGAAAAGTTGTGACTTTTCTTTCTTTTTTAGAAGTCACTTAAACGGAACATGGTAAAACGAAATTATTGTAATTTCTGGCAGGCTTCTCATTTTTTTTGGAAGTAAATTTTCTCAAACATGACAAAATGAGACACACATAACAAAATTGTGACATCTTCTCAAGCCCACCGAATTTCCGAGGTCTACGTGTCCGTTCAGATTTTATGAAAGGTTGATAAGCTATTTTTTTCTTTATTGAGAAATTTTTCCTTTTGAAGAGTGTAGTAACAATTTCAACAAACATATGAAAAGCAGCTTAAACAATATACATATGTTACCTTCACTACTTGCCCAGGATCGTCTTCGAATGTTCCATTGGTGTAAACTTGTCTCAGTTTAGTGCCAGCTGTCAGTTTGTTCTCTGTAGTCATATTGAACTTGTTTCTAATGAGGTTGGATAAATCACTGTCGAAATATTTCGCACGCCTCTCAACCTTTGAAGGATCTTAAAATATCGGTTGACATTTATATCAAATAATAAGACGTTTGAATAAGTTTTCGTAATCTTACCACTTTTCAAAAAAAATAATGCCTCTTCAGAGTTAAAGCCAATAATTATGGGAACTTGGTTTATATTTCCTGTTCTAATGTCCTCATGAAATAAACCCGTGATGAGTGCTCCATCTAGACTAGCGTCCTCAATTACAGGCACCCATATTATACCTTGGCCTTGCATTAATTGAGTCTCTTTTCCAACAGCAGCCTATGCAAATTTTGGTTATAGTGTATGATCTATATTTAGTATTTAACTTCTTATTCATCACCAATCTTTCTAGAAAATGCATTCATTCAACTTACAGTTATTGTGTTGTTGTTTATGTCGGATGCAGAAAGGCTTTGCAACAGTTCCAGTAATTCCGTTGAATTATCCGAAGTGAAATTTGAATCCAAACTTCGAGCTAATTCGAAAGCGTAGAATCTTGCATAGTTTTGATGTGCCCACTGAGACAATGCAGTACCACTTTGTAAAATGGCCCCTCTGAATAAGCCTTCATTCCTTTGACTTAATAAATGTAATCCCACAGATCCCGCTCCGGCACTTTCACCTGATATCGTTATTTTTTCGGGGTCCCCACCAAATAGATCGATATTATTTTTAACCCACTGAATGGCACAATGTTGATCTTTTAATCCTAAGTTTCCTGGTATGACTCCGTCTTCTGTTGTCAGAAATCCTGAAAGAATATGAATTGAGACTTTAGAATAAATTGAGAATAAGATTATCTAATTATATTATGTTAATAAAACAATGAATAAGAACATTAAAAAATTTATAAAAGCAGAAGTTAAAAAAAAATTAGAAAGCAAAAAAAATTAATATATGGAAATTAAAATAAAAAGTAAATAAATAGAAAAGTATAAATAATAAAGTAATAAAAATTTTAATGAATTAAAATTCGAGAAATGGCCAACAAGGACTCACTCAGGGATTCACTGTTAAATATATCACAGAGGAGAACATTTAAACTGTTCGTACTCGGTATTGGTAAATAAATGACTGGTTTATTCGAGGTACATAAAAATTTAGTCTTGATAAAATTTCAGCCTTCAAAACTTTCAATTTATTATTATTATTATTATTATTATTATTAATAATTAATATTATTAATATTAATGTCTGATATTTTTGACAATCAAAAAGTCATGTGATATTATTCTGCACGTAAAAAATGAAACAAAATTCTGCTTATTTTGATAGGCAGAAATTCCTCAGGCGCTTTAGCCAAAAAATCATCTATATTTGATTACAATCGATTTCTTCGATTTGAAGCCTACATTTTGTCACTTCATCAACATCGTCAGCTTTGCATATTTCGAAATCATTAAATTCTATCATGTCCCAGAGCGTGGATGTTTTCTTTTCTTTGGAGATCTCGCCAATGTATGCCAACGGAGTATTTTCTAAAAATGTGTCGATAAATTTGGAATG